TAGGCGGGGGGCGCCCCCGGGCATGCGGCTATTGGGGGGGCCGCCCCCGGGGCGCAAGTGTTCCCGCCCCCTGGCGCCCGGCAACCTTGAAAGGTTGGGAACCACTGCTGTAAGACTTTATAATGGACATTTGGGCAGAGAAGAAGACTTTCAAAGATAATTATGGCTGTATATTTTTGGCTTGTTTTAAATCATCAGTACACTTTCTTTTTTTCCTTCACGTTTTATTAGTTACTGGACAACCAGCAAAGAGTAAGCGTCCAAAGGAACCAGGGGAGAACAAAATTAAACCTGTCAACAAAAAAATGAAGCCCAAACCCCCCAAATTAAAGGAGAGAGAATCCAGTGACACATCCACAAAATCCCAGTCCATAATGGTCCAAGTGATGGATAAAGGTCGCTTCCAGAAACCTGCTGCCACGTTGAGTCTGCCCACACTGCAGAACATAGAACTACGATGTAAAGGGAATAAAATTGGGTGGAGTTATCCTTCATACCTAGACACCTTTAAAGACTCCAGACTCAGGTGAGTTTCCTTTCATGTGAAAGAAAATAGAAACTTTATTTTCCAGTTTAAACACATTTTTATACAGCTTTTACGGTTGGAATATATTCCATCTTGAAAGGAATATAGGTTTTTGGTAATCTTAAAAGATAGAAAACTGGCACGATTAGAAAAACATCTCTTGAAATTATACCAATTTTTTTGTGTCCGGGGGGGGGAATTACTTATGTAATCAAGAAGTGTTTTTAGGTCTGTGTAAAATGTCTTCTTCCTCCTGTGGTTTTAATTTCCATATTCAGTGCTGCTACTAACAAAAAGGGATGGAGGTCACAATTAAGAATCATTAGCAGTGTTATATGGAGAAAGAAACTTGGGAGTCTAATCACACTGTCTGGCTCTACCAGTACTAACTGCTAATGTTTGCCTACTTACTTGACCATATTTTCCAGTACCTGTTTTAATATGGCCAAATTCTCAGTCTTTACTTCTCATCTAGGCAAAACTCAGATTAACTTAATGAGAACTTTTATTGAGAACATATGACAACTGCAGAATTTGGCACTTGAGGACCCGTTGATTTGTGTTCCCTAAGACAGTGAAACCTGTCTTAAAAGACTGAAAAAATAGCTTTACCCAAGTGATTTCCTAATAAAAGAAGAGTAGAATTGTAGCACAGCAAAAATATCTTCAGTCCATTTGGGGTCACTTGCTTTAGGCAGTAGTATGCATGACTGTTGAGCTGTATATATTTAATTTATTTTTAATATGGAATATGTTGAGGTCAAACAAGAATATGCATAGATGCAGGGCATTAGCCACAAGTCACTCAGTAAATCTCTCTCCTAGCATCTAATGTCACAAGTATTAGTGTTTTAAAATTTGAATTAAATCAGAAATACATTTAATAGTATGCAGTACATGGGCCACTGTATCAGGGCTAGCACCCACCTCTTGCAATCCTGCCCTACTATGGGGCCTTATCCCCAGGGCTTTTTCCTGGACACACTTTTTCTGTGTCTCTTCCATGCAGTGAGCTTGGAGATCCCTCAGTGCTCCCCAGGTCTCTGCTAGCAAACTGTCTTAAGCTCAGTCCTAGCTGCCAGCCAGGAGTCTCTTGCTCCCCTGGTCCATACCCCCAGTCAAGCATGCAGTCCTTCCTTCTCCAGCTCCCGACAACTACTAACTGCTGCAGCTCCTTCTATATGGCCCTCCTGGGCCCTGATTGGCTGCTTGCCCAGCAGCCACTCTAACCTGTTTGAAGGACTCTCCACTGCTCCTGGCATGGGTGTAGAGAACCCTTAGGCTTCCAGCAAGGGGCCTTTGAACCTAGTTCATCTCATCACAGCGACCAAAGAGTAGGACAGGGCTACTCAACTTTGGAAGCTCCCAAGGCCACAATGATATTCTCAGCACATGCTGAGGGCCACAACTTAAGTATGGTTGCATATATATGCAAATACATGCAAATAGCTTCTTTCACACTGATGGGCATGAATACAAAGATTAAGCCTTAAGCTGCGGCGCCAAGCCCAAACGTGGCCAGTACGAGCCAATCAGCACCTCTCAGGCTCTGCTTGCAAGGCTAAGCAGCTAGCACTTCCCACAATGCCCTGGTGCTCCCGGCACCTCCTCCCTGGGGACTAGAAATGCCGACACCCCGTACCCATCTCTTCCAGCCAGCCTGTCTGCTTGCGTCTTTCAGTGCTCACCCTGCCTGGGAGACGCATTGCCGTTGTGGAGTGTTCTTCCAGCGGAGGCTATGTGTTGAGCTCTGTGTAAACCCAAACTATACTATGGGCTGTGTGTTGAGTAGCTCTGGAGTAGGATATAAGTATGAGAGGTTAATGATGAAATTCATGGGTGTAGGTGGGGAGAGTCTGCAGTATTTGGACTTGTCCTAGTTTTGGCCATTTGCTTGCATTTTTAGAAAATGAGTATGGAGTGTAAATCTATAAAAGGTTATAGTTCTGGTCTGGGAAAGAAATATTAAGAGTCTTGATTACATTGAAGAATAAACGCACCAGTGTGATTACTTCAGTGGGCAACTTATGTGTCAAGTTTAGGATGTCATTGTGAAATTTGTCTTGTGTTGGAGAGAACTCCTAACCTTACTACCATAGGGTAGATTCTCAGCTGCTGTAAATTGATTTCAGCAATGTTATGACAGTTTATACCAGCTAAGAAGGTGCCCCATCCCATGAGAGAAGCTGGGTGAGAAAATTATACAAATATAATTGACTGAAAAAATTTAAATTAGTTCTGAAAAGTCAGGTCATAAATGAAATAGACTGAAACATTCAGTCATGACTAAAGTGAGACACTGGTTCGCAAACTCATTAAAATGTGTAATGAAATGCTGTACATTTTCCAAAGCCCTAAACCAACTAATCAAAGTTGAAAACACTTAAGTTGAAATTGATTTTGATTTTCTAGATTAAAACACTGCAGTCTGGTGGGTTTTCAGTGTTTCTTCCCATTGACAAATTTTCTTCCTGTCCTCTGTTCCCTTTGTGTTCTGACCTTTGCTCCTAAAAAGATATGAACTAGATTAATAGAAATTGGTTTTGGGGCCTCTCTTGCCTTTCAGAGGAAGTCAGTTATGTTCCTTAGACTCTTCTGAATGTTTAACTAGTGCAGGGGTGGGCAATAAGATGACGGCAGCTCTCCAGTGTTAGCCCCTGCCAGGCTGCCACTGCTATATTTCCCTGCACTTCTACAGGTATGGCTGCTGATTGCTGTCCCCAGCCAAGGAGAGCTGTGGGAAGTGAGATGGACCAGGATGCCACTTCCCGCAGCTGCCATTGGCTAGGAATGCTGATCTGTGGCAAAGGGGAACGGCAGACGCCCATAGCTGTGGAGGCACAGTTAAATATAGTGCCGGCAACCCACCAGGGGGTTAACTATAGTGAACCAGATCTGGCCCATGGGCTGGTGTTCTCTGAAGATGGGAGAGATACAGGACTGACACCTGTCCCCATTTAAGTCAGTGGAAATTTAGCTGTTGGTTTCTGTGAAATCAGGATTAGAGTAATAATGTAAAAATGAAATATTTTCATTTGAGTTAGGAATAAAGTTTGCTCTTTTCTTTCTACAAGCTACAGTTTTATGCAGTTACAATAATGACAAATCAACTGCCATCTTTCAAATTATCTAAAAGCTAGCTGGACTTTCCCAGTGTTGCACGGGAAACTGGTGGAACAAAATTTAGAAAAATAAAAGCTGGTCCTGACAGCCTCCAGCCACACCGCAGCTGCCAGTGCCTGACATCTGGCCATTATAGCAGTAGAAAATTCCCATGCTTTTCTACTGCTGCATAAAGTAAAATCTGACTCAAAAAAGAGGCATTGCAATGTTTAGAATCAGAGCTATTTGGCAAACTTAGATACAAAAGTCACAATAGAAACTGTCTCTGTTTTCTTCCCATGTCATGAGTCTTGGAGCCATTAAAAGCACAGTGGAAGGGAGAGCTCCCAAATCACCATGGCTTGTTTCCCCACCACTGCTGGAAGCATATGGAGGCTGCTCTTCAATATTGCATGTTTTGCTTCCTATCAGATGGTATTTTTGCTAACAATCCTTGAAAAAGCTAATGTTTTTTTGGTAGGGGATAGGCATGCTGTGTCTGCAAATTCTCATCCAAGAGCTGAGTATAGGGATGCCTCAAGCAGTGGGGCTGGTCTCACTGAATTTGAGAGATTTCAGTTTGTCACACCTCAAACTCTTCTCCCATCTTTTTTGATGAAACTATGAGTCAACTACCTGAGCCTGCTGGCACCTCTATAGTCCCTCCTCCAGTACCACCCCCTTGAGCAGCTGCCCCTCCCATGAACTGCATCTCTCACCTCCCCCCACCCCCAATCCAGGATCATCCAGTATCAAACCCAGGGCCAGTGCCCAGATTTGAGAGATCACCTCCCTGGCCTTGGATTAATTTCTCACCCACCCAGCATCATCCAGTGCTGCCCCTTGGGCCAGTGCCTCTGAAAGGAGACCCCTCCCCCCCCCATGGGCTTCATTTCTCCCCATGAACTGCATCTCTCACCTCCCCCCACCCCCAATCCAGGATCATCCAGTATCAAACCCAGGGCCAGTGCCCAGATTTGAGAGATCACCTCCCTGGCCTTGGATTAATTTCTCACCCACCCAGCATCATCCAGTGCTGCCCCTTGGGCCAGTGCCTCTGAAAGGAGACCCCTCCCCCCCCCATGGGCTTCATTTCTCACTCACTCCCTGCAGGATTGTCCAGACCCACTTCCTTTACCCCCTACAATCCAACTCTCTCCCCCCTCACCTCCAACGGTCCAGCCCCACCCCCTACA